TTGTTGTTGTTGTTGTTGTTGTTGTTGTTGTTGTTGTTGTTGTTGTTTTTCCTCAATGCCTCTCGTTCTCCTCTCAGACCTCTCTGGCATAAAGTTACATCCCTTCATTTCGTCCTTTTGAGAGGAGCTGAAGGCTCGGACTCTCTGACAGAAACACCAAAAGGTCCCATCGAGGTGCCGACCATCTGCGAGATGGGCTGCTGTAATATTGAAAGAGTTATGGATTATATTGAAAGAGTTATGGATTATATTGAAAGAGCTATGGATTATATTAGAGCTATAAACCGCCCACTTGTGGCAAATTAAAGGAGAATTTTTCTCCGCTTCAGAGGAGGCTGACTTTAAACTCCCCCTGAGGGAAAACCACCACAGACACAAGTTTCACACCGATTAGTCTGCCGAGCCCGCCCGCGTTTCAGTCCGTGTCAGCCAGCTGATTTATTTTGTTGTGTTAAGTGCTTTCATTAATGGACTTTACTCGCGGTGGCTTGGCGTAACACACACTGTGTGTGATGGAGTGAATCAAATTTAACATACAATTTTACATCGTAAGCCGAGCTAAAGTCAGTGTTAAACTTTAGCCTGTGCAGTCAGTATTTGCCTTTACTATTTAATATCTAAGATTTTTACAAGTGGCATTCTGTTGAAACGATAAGTCATAAATATCTTACCTGTTGTAGATGGCTCATCGGACAACTTCAGGCTGGAAAAATAGCGTTTAATGTAGACCTGATTAATGAGCTAATAGCTGGTCCAGGTTGCTGAAGTTCCATCCATCCATTATCTTTAAACCGCTTCTTCAATTTTGGGTCACGGGGGTCGCCGATGCCCATGTCCGGCAATCGTGCGAGGGGCGGGGTACACCCTGGACAGGTCGCAAGTCCATCACAGTGCCTATTGCTGAAGTTTTTATGCTGATTTCTTTTTTCCACTGCCAAAAGGCCCGTGTGTGTGTGTGTTCATGTCTGTTAGCAAAATATCTTATAAATCACTGGATAGATTTGAATGAAACACTAAGAAAGTAATCTTTGGGTGCACATCTAAAGCTGATTAACTTTTGGAGTTAACTCAATTCAAGATGGCTGCCACAGCTAACTGACATTAATCAGCACAAAAATAGTTATAACTTCATCAGTTTAACAGATTCTGAGTTGAAAATGAATACGGTAGTAGCTGAGACTGATCCCCAACCCATAGTTTGAGCATTAACAGATTATACAAGATCTGTTTATATTTATAAAGCTTTGACATTACCATTTGGAGTCACCTCGGTCTGTCTGTTAGCAAAATATCTCATGAACTAATGGCTGGATTTTAATGAAACTTGTATAAATCAGTCCTTGATTGTTGAGAGTCTGTTTTGATTCAAGATGTCCGCTGTGGCTAATTGAACCTGAGGAAAAGTGGCTGTAACGCAGTCATTTTTACAAATACTGAGATCAAATTTGATGTGGTAGTAGCTGAGAGTCACTCGCAACATGCACTTCAAGCAAAAACAGGTTGAGCATAATTTAATTTTAAAGATTTCACCAAAACAGGACCTTTTTTTTTTTGTGCCTATTTCTGCCCCTTCTAAACAACAAACCTTCAGCGCAGATAGTTTACCACTGTAAAACCATTCCATGGGCTAATCCCTCCCTGCTAATAAATTCCTCATTTGGATTAAATGACTTTGTCACATTTTAGGATATTAATATTGGATTAGAGGATCTAGAATATCTGGAGATTATGCTATGATGAAACCGATCCAAGTCAAACAGTGAATAGCTGAAACGCTTCGGGCGATTTGCTTTTTTTTTGGGATTAACTTCATCCATGTTTTCTTCTGCTGAACGTTTTAGCATATGGCCTTCACAGCCACTTTCTCCTCCTATATAAGCTGCAGAGATGGTCAAAATTACTTGTGATTATATATTGGAGAAGTCTGGCCAAACACATGGTTTAGCTCGGAGACCCCCCCTCTCATTGTCAGACGGGGGAGTGGGATTCCTGAGTTGTCTGGCTGAGACTTCAAAGAGAGAACTGGGAGTTCTAAAAGGAATCTGATAACCGCAGAGGCTCCGAACCTTCACTGCTAACTACTGGATCCCCCTGTCCTGGTTTTTATTGTGATGGGTCAGTGTGATGGGCCGATGGAGGAAGTGTGCCAGCAAAGAGAGGAAAACAACTGACCTCAACCTTTCAATTAAAACTAATTCTTATACAACAAATCATGACCATGCAAGTGCAAGAAATAACAAAAGATCAAAGGGTTGAAAGATCTGTTTAAATATTGATAATCCTGCAAACCGTGGTTCAGGAACGCAGCTGGAAGCCTGCAATCGCTGTGTAATCTTACAGTCTCCTTAAAGTCTGGTATTAAGAGACAAAGCAAGCGCGGTTTAGCAGGATGACTTGACTCATCCGGGGTGAAGTCATCAAGGTTTTGACACTTCTCTTTGCAGGTGTTCACAATGACTTTAACCTGTCCAAACACCTGGGCTCATGTCAGAGCGTTACAGGCGAGATCAAAAGGATAGACTCGTCCTGCTCTGAAAAGTGACTTTAATCTGCAGTTATTAAATATTAGAAATAACTCCTGACCTGTACGTGCTACTGAAGAAGGTTCGCCTTTGGAAACATCACTCCAGACGTGATCATGTGCAACAATTCCCGCTTTATAGAGCCACGCTTCACCGCCCAAATATTGAGAAGCTAATTCAGCCTTTCAGCACCGTGCTTTGTTCCCAAACTTCCCTCAGAGTCGGCTTCTGAAGAGCAAGTGTCAACATTTAAAACACCGCAACAAAGGCCTGTATTATGCCTCCTTGAAAGATTAATAATATCTCACTAAAACGGTAAAAATAAAAGCACAGTGACAGATTTAAATGGGTGTAAATATTTTAATGAAACTAGAAAAAACAGAATTATTCTGACTGAGAGTCAATATACGAGAGTCAACTAAAGAATAAATTAGGTTAAAAGGAAACATTTTATGTGACTCTGGAAAAGTTATGGACAATATCTTACCTGCTGCAGATAGCTCTTTGAACAATCTCAGGCATTGTCCACACAAACTTTTAATAATTTATTTGTTATTAAAAAGAAACATCCTCTTATGGATGGCACAGTTTCTAGGATTGTCTTCATCCACATGTAAACACATAAAACAACCCAAAACACTAGTAGCAGTCTTTCCCCTAGATCAGTTCCCTTGGCAGGGCGCTCGTCGTATTTTACTTTTTTGTTGGTTGGTGGTGTTGGTGGTGGTGGTGGTGGGGGGGTGAGGACAGGACAGAGTCACATCTGTATTGCCCGCCCGCTAGCTTAGCGTTACGTTGCTGCTGGTTTTTTAATCAACAATGGGTGTCGCATCTATGTTTAGTGCTACGTTGCTGCCGGTAATTGTTGCCAAGGGGGTGAGTAGTACGTCAGTAGCATTTTTGCTAGCATGTTTGTATTGCGCCCCTCGCTACATCAATATCGACAGTTGTCGACGGGGTGCGGTGGAGGAGTTTGGTAGGCAGGGCGCTCGGTTCTGTTGACAGGGCGGGGCGCCCCACTTTTATAATGGTAGGGGAAACACTGACTGTAGCTATGCCAGGCCTGTATGTGGCGCTGTAACTCTTTCATGAAAATACACCTAAAACAGGAAACAAGGTGTTGAGCTTGAGC